CCACTGCTGCTTAACCCTAAACCAGGGCACCCAATGCAGGCTTCAGATCTCAGCTACTCGTGGCTACCTGGCCTTGCTGGGTCTTTCCTTCTCTGGCAGTGACTCGTCCTACAGACCAGGGTCCCCCGGATGATCCCTCCAGTCACTGTAAACACCACTGTCGATGGAGATGATCTTACCAGCGTGATGGAGGTGACTGATTTGCTTCCAGTTAGATACGTTGTCACAAGCTATTAGTTTTACTGCAGCCTCATTTGAAGGGAGTGGTAAAGCAGCAGGGCAAGCAAACAGCTACTGTGTGTGTGGGAGCACTAAGTGCGCAAGCAATTAGGCTTCTTGCTCACCAAATTCAAGCAGTCCCCTGTTTTCACATTTGTTTACACTCCAGCTTACTAAAGCAAACACAACCCTTGTGAAAGGTGAGCCCTGTCTAAGAGGTCAGTCGAGGGGTTAAGTCAGAAGGCTCTGTTTGCAAATAGCTGTAAAAACAGAGATAAGAAGTGGCAGAGGGTTCTTAGCACCCAGATTTCCTGTTGGAGGCAGCCAGCCTGCTGCCACCTAGGATATGGTTCAGTTGTCCAGATGAAGCAAAACAGGATAGTGAGAAAACAGAAAAGAGAATAGAAATGTGGTTTCTCAGCAGCAGAGACATATCCTGACATGGTCCCCAGGACATGGTTGATGAGTCTCTTCCAGTCATTCAACAGGTGGAATAATTTCAAGCTGTGATTTTGTTCTCATTCACATCAGCACTGATCAGCCTCCCCCCGGCACACTGGAGGTAACGGACTTGAGCCTGACTGAGGTTCAGGAAAGCCCTCCAAGCGGTTTTAGTAGCGTTTAGCTTTGGCAGCCAGGTGAGGAAGCCACACGAGGCAGCTGGGCCCTAGGTGGTTAGGAGCAGCCACAGTGCCAGGATGGTAGCAGCAGTGGCACAGAACAGGCAGCCCTGATGTTTCAGAGCAAGCAAAATGCTTTAGGAAGTGGTGAGGGAGAAGTCCCTCAGAAGCAGAAAGGCTGGCAGAGATAAAGCCAGGTTGGCTTCATACAGCAGATGCAGAGCATCTCCCCCAATCCTTTCCCCATGGCTCCTGATGCCTTAGGCACCACCAGTAACCACAGTGCTACCATCTTGTACTCCTTGGCAGCCAGCAGAAGCTTTCCTTTGCCTTCTCTCCCTCCCTACCTTGTTGCAAAGCTCAGCAGTTCAAAATGGCTGACTGAATGCTGTTTGCAGCCGTTTGCACAATATTCCCCAAATCCATTGCTTTTTTTGCATGGTGGATCACCAGCTAGATTTGCTGCAGGCATGTCTCCTTCCCACTGCTGCGCCAAGAGGAGGTAGCAGGCAGTGGCCATCAGGAACAGGAGCTGCTCTCCTGATTGATGATCTACTTCTTACAGTACTGTAATACGCAAAGCCAGTTGTATTTGATTATACCCCCAGTAGTGCGGCTTCTGGAACTGAGATGGTGAATGAACCAGGTTGGAATAAGCAAGTTATTAATTAGCATGCTGCTGGCAGAATAAAGCTATTTTTAAAATCACTGAACAGCACTGCTCTTTACTGTGATTGCAGAGATTATGTAAGATGATGATTAAAATCAGGTCGCTGCATCACAGACTGATCCCTGTTTTAGAGATGTGAAAACAAAGCTGCAAAGGAATGAGACTGTATTATTTTAACAGGCTGTTTGCCTGTCCTAATTAAAGGCAGAACAGCCATGTCACCAACCTCTCGGCTGTCATTTTAACTCATCCCACTTCTTCTGTTACATTTTGCCAATAGCCATTTGTTTTTTAAAACTGGGTGTGTACATATGGAAATGTTGGCTCAGGAGGAATCTGCTGCGTCATCCCGCAATATGCAGCTGAGTTACAGGGTGTCCCTAACGCACAGCTTCTGATTCCTAAGGTGCACCTACCAAAGGTGCTTCCCTCCTCTTTGCTGTAGGATGGACTAACATTCATTTAAAAACACAGGAGGAGAAAACTGTCATCACTGTCGTGGCGCATTGCCTAACTGTCTGGAAACAGACAGGTAAGGAGAAGTTGTGTCTCACCAGCAGGAAAACGCTGCATTTCAGGACCAAGCTACCAAAAAGATGCTGTTGTTTTCAATGCCAGTTATTTGGGAAAAGCCTCTAGAAATTGATTGTCCTTAAAGACCTGGAGAGAACATTGCTTATGATGATCAGTGGAGATTTTAAAATGTGTTTACAGCCTGCTCTGCTGTAATGCTCAGATTGCTGTATATACACAGTCATTATTTGATTTCTTACACCACAGTGAATAGCAGCACTGCGATCAAATACAGAGCGGCACCAATTCTAACACAAATAGGAATATAAACAAAACCTGCAGATTTATAGGCAATCAAACTTATGTCAAACAGAGTAAGATGAAAAGCAGAGTGTGTTTATTATTCTGACAGATGTTTGCTGTGCAGTGTTTTCCGTAGAGTTTCTCACCATTGTTAATCATCCCTATTTTATGATGAAGTTTAAAAACTCTTTAATTATTTTATGTGGGTTGAACGTGCCCAGTCAAAGCATCATGCTGTATTAAAGCTGAAGATTTATGCCTTTATAATATTTCTTAAGAAGCAGCGGTCACAGAAACCATTGTTATTTCATTTCCTGGCTTAATACAGGATCTGGGGTTCATAGAACAAAGCTTTTTGTCATTACTTACATGCGCTTCTTTCTTTTCATGCCAACTTCACCAGGCTGTGTGCATACGTAAGCAGAAGGGTAAAATGCAGCCCCTTTACGGTGGAGTCTGTAGTAACATACGTTGTTGTGTAAAGAAAGGAATTTAACATGGAGGCCATACAGACTTGCCTATTTTGTGTAGTGCAAGACACCCATCAGGTACCTGCTCCTGCAAGCAAGCCGGGTGATCCCGGGAAGGCAAGGTTTCCCTGGAGTGCCCTGACCAGGTGAGGTCTGTGCTGTTGCTTATTTGGGTCCCTGAAGCCTCGCACCTCTGGCCATGTGGCTGCTGAACTTCAGCCAGGAGACTGCAGGAGTGTCTGGATGAGGATGTGTGGTAGCTCTGCACCTCAGTATGCAGCACCCTGTCAGCGCTACCTGGGCTGTTTGGACTTCTGTAGCCAAAATTCACAGTGTAAAAGCTCCTAGTCCTGTCCATGCGCTGTTACACACTTATACAACCACACACTTACACAAACACATCCATTTCTACACACTGAGAAGGGGCAGGAGCCCTACCACCATGCTGAGCATAACCCATGATGGAAATAAGGCTGTTGAAGCTGGAGGTAGGACAGGTGTTTATGTAAGTGGTCGATTGTTTGTATCCTTTATAAATACCCAAATGAGCAATCAGACTTCTGTGTTAATTGGCAATGAAGTAAAATTTGCAGCTTGAGACTGTTTTGCCCATAGCACGCAAACAGCAGGGTTGCACAAAAAGCCCTCAGCACAACTGGGGTTCACCGCATCTCAAATAGTGTGCCTGATTTAAACAGTTCGAGGCCCTCACATAATGCCCTATGCTGAAACAAGCCCAAGACCAGTCTCTTGGCGAGCTGTGGAGGCCGTGAGTCTCCTTGCTCCACTACATGTTGCTACAGATCCATCCCTAGACCATGCTGCGTCATACTTGCTTAACTGGCAGCAGATGGGAGGGGGAGATCCATTAGAGGAAGACAGTCCAGAGCACAGTTAAGTGGTTTTTTCCTTCTCATCAGTCTCATCTCATCTCAGTGGCTGAGGCTGGTTTTTCTCTCTGTTCCATTGCTGCAGCAGTGGGCACAGAGGAGAGGTTACAAACTGAAACCTTTTCAGGCAATACACTGAAGTATAAACTGGCTGGTCAGATATGGGGCTGAACTGCTTTCTGCTCTGTTATGTACATCTTGCACATTTGTTTCTTCTGCCACACTCCCTCCCCCCCAGACCTGTTTATATCCATCTTGTCCCTCAGATGCCTGCTCTGGTCATCTCCCATACCAACTGCTCAGGATGGTGTCGAGACACCTGAGGGTAACACCTCTATAGCTCCGGGGCAGATGGAGTTCCAGCTTCAGCAACCATGCATTCTCATTATGCAGCCGAGAACCACCCTCCTGCTTCAGCAGCATCTCAGACCATGTGAGAAACATTTTTGTTTGATCAAAGACTGAGAGAGCATTTTTCCTTCTCCATCCTTTTAAAAGTTTAACCTATAAACACACAGGGCTGTTCATAGAACACTTTCAAACAGGCTTTGTGGAATGATTTTATTTATAAGATTTTACTACCCAGTTTAACTCTCTGAAGAGAGACTTTTACACTGTGTTCTTCAGCTCTGGACTTGTGTTGGACGGCTGGATCTACAGAATGGCACCGAACAGGCTAGTTTTTAGCACCAGTGAGCAAACAGCACTACTGATTCCTGCAACAGCCCAAGGTGACCACGGGAGGCTCCAAGTATTTGAAGCACAGGATGCCTCTGGGTGGTTACAGATTTGGGCAATTGAGGCAACCAGCTTGGAAGCTTTTGGACCAACAGATTTCCTGCTGCAAACAGTCCTTTTGTGCCACAAGGTAAAGGACTAACATGGCAAAAGAATTAAAGGGTCCTAGTTTTGCAGAAACCAGAATAAAGCCTGTGAGGGTTCATTCAGAGGTTAGAAGGTGGTGTTTTCAGGATGTTTTATGTGTATCTACACTGCTGGCATGTTTATTACTGCATCTCCTGACTGTTGCTGACTTTTTAAAAATACACAGTTCCCAGCGAAATCAGCTTTGTTTCCAAGCTGCAGAACTGCTGAGAAAGGAAGATCAGGCCCTAACATAACACCCATTTAGTACACATAGCCATTTGCGCATGGCAGCAAATTAACGTGAGTTGGTACCTACTGCAGTGAAGATGCAGGTAACATCCCACAGAACTATTTAATAGTGAAGGAATTCGCTTATTAAAAAGAACCTCACAGTTGTTCCTCCTTTCCTTAATATCTGGGCATATTCTGAATATTCACACAACTACAATTGTTCAATTGATGCAACTCAGTAATTTTTATTGCAACTGGAAGACAATACATCACAGAAACTTTATGGTAGGTTTCGGGAAAGTGTTATTTACAATAATAATTGATGAAATAGTTTGTCTTTGGCAATATGATTACACATCAAGAAAATGTAAAATGCAAGTATGCCTCTAAATCAACATTTTCATTTTTCCTAAAGATCAGCTGATTGCACTTGCCTTCGGACTGCTCATTTAGGTAAACACAAATACAACTTAACATCACTGTTCATTCCCCACCACAGTTCGTGTTTTAATATTGATGAAGTTGGCAGTTTCAGATACCAAGTACAGGAAAAAAATTGGCGTATCTCTGTACTAAATTAACTTATTGGCCAGTTAAGGTCCTGTGACCCTCAAGCATTGATACTAAATCTCTTGGTCTTTTGATTGCTTTATCACTTTTTTTTCTGTAAAACAAAATATTTCAGAAATTACAGATCAGAGTATAAAAAAAAATGTACAAGTCCATAATGCTTTTCATACACACACAAATCATTCCCCCCGACATTTTACATCATGGCAGTTTTAAGTAGTGAGTGTGAATGATGCAGGCACGGGAACTGGTTATCAGATACAGGTATGACTTTCAATTGCTGTCCCACACATGTACTCAGGAAATGTACAATGCTCTAGGAACTGAAAGATGTACTCAAGTTCAATGTCATCTGAATGAAAAAAGAAAAGTCTCGGGATTTCAGGCCACAAAAAACAAATGAAAAAGATTCCCATCTCTAGATGATCAGCCATCCTAGAATCCAGCATGGAATTACAGCATCCAGTAAAATCTCTTCTAGCACTGAGGGCCAGCATGAGTTGTCCCTTATCCCTTAAGCCCTCAGATGATGAACTCTCATCACTGCTGGGCAGATCCAAGGCCCAATGAAATCCACTGAAAATAAAGAAGTGAAACAAAACTCCCTTCCATCAACTGGGAAAGGATGTTACACCAGGTTGATTTCCCCCTCTTTGCAAAAGGAAATGTGATACAGTAGAAAAAAACATTATATAGCTTTAGATAAATATACTTTGTTTCAATGCTAAAACAAAACCCAAACTCCCAAAACCAGGAAAGGCTACTTTTTAGAACAACTCAACAGTGACCTTTAAATCAGTTCTGGCTTTAAATGTACACCAGCAAAATACAGCACCATAGACACATTAGGTTGAGACTTTTTTTGGTCAGTGAAGCTAGTACTTGTTTGCTGAACTGTGGAAGAATTATAAGGTCATGTACACAATCAAAGGTAAAGCAACCCAGCTGACAAGTCTTTGCTTAATTCAAGAATAACCAGTACTAAAAATAAAAATGCAAAAAACCCCCTAATAAACCACCATCAATTAATACTTTCTAAATAAAAGGGGATTAACGGATGAATTCACAAATGTATGCAGATTTATACAGAACACTGAATGTTGTGTGTAAATCCTTATAAACTCCAGCTCAAAACAGAAACACACAAAATGTATAGTTTGACTTACACATCCCATTTCAGAGGAAAAGAGACATCATTACAACTTGGTAACTGTGCTAACTGCAATATAAACCAAACAAATTCGAAGTTTGGCAGTTAACTAAGAAGAGGGTTATCACTTAGGTTATATAGCAAAGTGTTGATGTATATTACATATAGTAGTATAAATAATAAAAAAGTATTATTTAAATTAGATCACAGTGCTGCATTATGTGCATAACAGTGTTTGATATATTACTGGAGGGCTGTGAAGAACACTACTAAAACTTAACTGGTCAAACGGTCAACACTGATACTCTGTTACAATCAAGAGGATGCATGGTTCAAATGCCCTTTTGGTGGCAAAGTCAAGAAAACATTTCAAGGTATTTCCTGTAAAATATGCCAATGAGCTATTCAGGCAGCAGTGACGTACCTGAAGGAGCTGGGTTTGCATTCTCCATGGAGTGAAGTAAGTTGCATTGCATCTTAAAGTGGAAATGCATTCTCCCAATAAATTTATTCTGATCCCAGAGCATGGGAGAGCTTTAAAGAATGCTGAGGGACAGAGTCAAGAAAAACTGGTAATAACAGTTAACAGTGAAACAGGGAAGGTTCCCAGGAGCACTTGGGTGTCTATAGCTCCGCTGATGGCAAGTGAGATCGGACACCTTCACCTCCTAGAAAACCTCAGATTGCGCCTATCTAGATCTTTAGACAATTTGGAAGCCACAATCTCAGTGAAAATCAATCACTGCTACCCAGAAACTGGGACAAAGTGTGTTTGGTCATTTTATCCTGGTGCCAGTTGGTGTACAATTTAGGATTTCATTCTCATGCTAAAGCATGTCGATGTAACTGTACCTCACTCCAGTGAAGAATGCAGCCCCCGGAGTTTCTCTGTATCTTTTCCAAAGGTAGACAGTAATTCAGTCGAACACTGGGAGCTGATGCCTCTCCTTTGAGATTCCATTCTCCTGTTTAAGAGAGGAGCCAGAGTATGGACCTCAACTGAACTGCCAGAAAGAACAGTCATGGAAGAGTTATCTAGTCATACATGGCACACCTCCTCGCTCCCACATCAGGCTTTTCAGCTGTGAACCCCTGTGATCTTGGCAGAACTACTGCTGGCTTTGCCAGGAGAAGATCAGGATCAGACTGCTTTCAGAAACAGCTACGGGGTGATACATTAAAGCTGTTCAACACCTGTGCTTGAAATTTTAAATGCAGGCAGGATCTGCATCAAAATGCAGTAGGACATCCAATTCCTTGCAGAACATTAAGCACAACCAGCAGATTTCACCTCCCTGCAGACACTGGTGAAATCTGCTTGTGATATTAGCTCTGGCCTGCAAGAGCCTCTTGCTGCAAAAGGCATATTCCAAAGGAACCCACCATGAAGTCCAGCGACCCCTACAATTCACGCCTCCCTGAAACTCACCACTGAATGCTTGCTGACATACTGGGATTCCCCAGGCCCCACCTGTCTTGCAGAAATGCTAATTTGGCAATACTGATAGAGTGAGGAAAATGGAAAGTTAGATCTGACAACTTCTCACCCTAAAATGGCTTAGTAAGGAAAGCAAACAAGCAAACCCAAACCACCTCATGTCTGGCAAGTTAGTAATACAGTGCAATTACCACTCCCTTTTGGCATGATTCAGTCAAAGTAGAGACAACTGAATTGAAAAGCTGACATAGTATATTTTGGAAAACAGATCAGTCTCAATTGTTATAATAGGAGAGAACTTGCCTGACTGTTCTGACAAAGCTGCCATTGTCAGCCAGGCACAATAACGGGTTAAAAGGTGACTCCTAAGTACTTTATACAAACCCAAATTCTGTACTTCTCACCAACAGTCAGAGTAAGGGTCAATAAGTGCCAGTTGTTTTTAAACGCAAGAAATAATCTGCTGATGGCATTAGTCCCCAGCCAAACTACTGGTTTCAGAATGTAACTTTGTAAACTCCTACTAACACCTCTTCAGCAGATCAGACTAGGAGCCACAAATTTTACATGAAAATAGATGCCTGCCAACATTTTAGGTTTAGCAGCAAGTATATAAAGGAGTTTTTGAAGTCTTAGATTATATGTACGTATATAGAGATAACCTGCCTAATTAGATATCTATGCAAAATGACTGTTTTCTAAGGTGAGTAATACTAGTGGTAATTATATACTTCATCACCAAGAGTCCACATTAATGAATGTTACTTGATCAGCAGACACGGATCTCATTTGCACTGACACACTGCAATCAGTGGAGCTGCTCTGGAACTAGTGTCGTGACTGTGGACAGAATCCGGCCACCAGCACACAACCACATCGCTTTCTCTGGAGGACAGAGATGGCTGAGCCATGGTTTGAGTGTATTTCCTGCCACTAAATCTGGCTTTTCAACACTGCTTTTGGGTAAGTATTAAACCACCCCTGAGCTGGTACAACTGTGCACTAATGAGCAAAGGTAGTGGCAAACTGATACTGTAGTATGTTGTATTTCAAATTACTCTCCCCAAAGTCCATATAACGCAGAAGGAACCAGTTTTCTTGTGCAGTGGCGGTGTGGTTCACTACCTGCGGACTCTGGCTGTAAGGAGCGTGAATTGGGGCAGAAGCCAATTACCCCAGTCCAATCACATATAAGGAAAGCTATGGCTCATTCACCTCCGTGCTAGCTGGCCAAGGGACTGGTCCTTCCCGTTTTCCAAGCCCTTTCTTCTAAGGGCTGCAGGCAGCCAACGAAAGTTAGTATCGATGTACCCCTGACTTAACCAAAGCTGGGAACCAACCCCACTGGGAATCAGCTGAGGGAGGCGGAGAGCTGTTCCTTGCACTATCACTGTCTCTCTCCTTCCTTATCTGCATAGTTGGCAGTTGTGCTGGGCTCCAGCAGCTGTCAGGCAGCTCCTGAAGATCCCAGGATCTGGGTGAAATGGAAGAGAAGCACCATTTTGCTGTGATGCCTTTAGTGTGGCCCTGTTTGTTACATGGCAAAATGCTTGCAGAGCACCGGAACAGGTCCAGCCAGCCTGCCCTTCAGTCCTTCCACCCCTAACTGAACACACACCACAGGCATCTCCAAAAGCAATTTTTAGCTCACTCCCCTAAGTGGGAAGTCAAACACTTCTTTAAATCACTCTCCATAAACTAGATCCATCCTGGTGAAACTGCTGCCTGAAAACAGCTGTTAAGGATAAATATAAACCTGCAGTCTTTTTAAGAAACAGACCATTTTGTTCTGTCAAGTGTTTGGTTCCTGGGATTTTCTTCTTGCCTCTAGTATATTCTACGTGTAGAATTTATCATGCCAAATTCATGAATCTGGGTGAGAGAGACTATCTTATTTATTTCACAGTTTCCCTCTGCTGTAGGGATCTCCAGGAGCTGTCATCACCAGGAGAATAGCACTATACCTGAATCACACTCTGTAACACTGGTTATTCTCTGGACACCTCAGTAAGGCTCTTTCCTAACTTCATTTTCTCATGGCAAATTAGCAAAGCTATTTTCTTGTCTATTTATTCCTGAATCAAATCAGAGAGTTTTCCTCAATTAACCTCCATTATTCTCTTGATTCTGTCATACACACTCACTACTAAATTTGCCCTCAGATTATTGCGTCATGTTACACATGTACAGACGAAGAAAGGACACAGTTTACTTGTTTTTTTTTTGTTTTTGTTTTTTTTTTTTTTGTTAAACAGAAGTAGGGGGCAGGGCTGAATGTGCAGACAAGGCAGTTTAATTCAACCATCCAAGCCCTACCAGAGCATGAAGATTTTAATATTGCAGAGTAAGTTCCCCAACAGTCAGTGTTTGTCCCTGAAGAAGGTTAAACCTTAAACACCTGCTTCAAAAAAAACCCAACAAAACAACCCAACAACAACAAAAAAAGAAAGAACCAAAACAAAAACAAAACAAACAAATAAAAAAAAAATAAAACCCCAAAAAAACAACTCTAAGCCTAAGGGCTTAAAAATTAGAGGCATAGCCTTTTTCTCTAATTTCTATATTTATATGAAAATAATTCATGCTTCATGCTAAATACATTATTTACCTTACAAGAACTTTGTCATCTTTGAATTAAAAAAATCGTTTGCTTTTTGTATTCCCCCCCTCCCAAAAGGAATCCATGCAATGTGGATCAAATTTCTTCTGCTGGCTACGCTGGTTGATCTGGAAACTTTTGCTGTCACTTTTGCACAGATGAATCCTGACTGACGGTAACTGCGCTCTCATTTCAGAGGGCAGTGTAGGAGATCTTTTGTTGAACTTCTGAGTTTTACTGTTCACCAATATGCTTTCCTCTTATTTTTACATACAGAATACTACTAATGGCAGGTTTTGTAGCTTTGTTTCCCCAGTTAGATCAAGGATTTGATCCACAGAAACAGATTCTGATGTATTTCTTTCCCTTAATATCTACTGTAATTTCTCAGAGTCGATTGCTTTTTACTCAGGCAGTTTAGAAGACATAGCTTGTTTTTCCCTATTACTATTATTTTTTGCACACAGTGCCAATCTTCAGGCTTATGGCTTTTTGAACATTCTTGTAATTTAATATAGAAGACAGAACTCAATGATTAACGATGCTACTAACAGTGACCTCCCCTCCTCTTTCTTCGTTATTTCACTGAAACCCATTGCATACATAGTTCATATTTCCCCCAAACTTGAAGTTATCAGTCGTTACATTATGAGCCACGTATAGTATGAGAAGCACTAAAAGTGCATTACGGTTTGCGTAGTTGCCACCAGTGGCCATCCAAAGACTTCTATGGCACAACGTATCCAAGTGCTGCTGTTCTTGGTGTTGAGAAGTACATGCCTCCTCCTTCCCCCAAATCTCTTTATTCACATTCACTTCTAACCCAATTGTAAGGCCATTAAAAACAATTCTTAAGGGCCAGGCCTGAAAGATTACTAAATTATGCACAGCTCTTCTAGTGTAAGAGGGATTTCCAAGTGCCCAGTTTTACTCCCATCACATTACTGTTGATGTCACTGCGTATTCAACCATGCATTTTTGACAAGCCGGAGAAAGCAATGGTGATTCTGGCTTTTGTTATTTGTTAACTTTTTGTCTTCAGGTAATGAAAAGCTTTTGTAAATAAGCTGAGTGTCAGTATGAGTTCTATGGCTTCAATCTCCTTTAAAAATAAAAATCTTAAGGGTCAAAAAAAAAGAAACAAAAAGAAAAAAAAAACAAACCAAAAACAAACAGAAAAACAAAAAAGGAAAAAATTGCTGATATTGCCACAAATCATTAGAATTCACCTGACGTGATGAAACAAAACTTTGTAAGTTCAAACAAATCATTTATTTGTTCTAATTTTTTGTGGTTTCCTTTTGCTCTTTCTGCCCCTTTGCCGTCCGATTGGTGATGTTGTTCAAACAGGACCGAATTCCTGCCAAATGCAGGAGTGATCCTGCAGCTTCTTTCATCTCCTCATCGTCACTCTCAGGGGGCTTTTCTGTACGTCTCTTTTTAAGAGGCAGTGTGTCACTTGGTACTTTTTTCACCTTCATTAAATGTTGCCTTTTCTTGTGCTGGGAAGCATACCCACTGTCAGCTAAAGAATCCTTGGTCTCCTTCCGATGTTGCTTTTTGTCCTCCTCTTCTGTTTCACTATGGCTCTCGTGGCTCTGGAAGCTAACTTCACTTCTTTCACTGCTGTCCTGGCTACCTTTAGTTGCAAATTCATACTGGTCATCAGCAGAGGAAGAGGAAATGGAGTCACTTGCAGGTGATGTGCTCCTGTGGTTGGAAGATTTGGCACTGCTGTAGTTGTGATCCTCCTTTGGGTCACCGCTAACAACTGGAGAGCCACAGGACTGTTCGCTTTCTGTCCGCATCCGGCAGTTGGTTATTCCATTCCTGTAGAAACAAATCAAAGCAGTCTCAGAAGCCACAGAGATGTGATCCTGATTCAGTGCAGAAGATGACAAATCTAACTGACTGATAACCTGAAATTATGACCATCAAAGTAATGTCCATGCAAGATGGTTTCAAAGCCTGACTCAAATTGCTTGTGAATTGGCTCCACACATGAAACAAGTCAAAAGATGTAATGGCACAAGAGGCAGGAGGAAGGAGGGGATGGTTGCAAATAAATGATGTCTGAACAGTCCTGATTTACATTTCAACTAATAGTTTTCACTTCCAAAAAATTTAAAAGAAAAAAACACATTATTTTATTTACTGTATTTTAAAGAAAATCCTCTCCCCTTTTCCATATAAAATGATATTACCAAAAATGTGAGGGAGAGACGCTAGCTTTCTGGAGTACTTTGCCTCCTCTCAAAGACTCTTTTCCAGCAATAGTGTTCCAAGGGTAGGAGATGCTTCACATGGAAGTAGCACAGCTACCATTTATTTAGGACACATTCGAACAGAAGGAGCAACTAAGCATAAAACCCAGGTCCAGTCACATTTCTGATTCTGATCTTACGAATATTCTTAAAAGCAATATAATTTTAAGCCCCTAGCTGCCAACAAAATATTACAGTACGTTTATAAACAAACAGTAGGAAAAAAAAGTATCTGTTTTTGTTCTAGAAGTTGTTATTTTCCCCTCCGGTTCTATGGCACTCGGTGCTGTGTGAACTACTGTAGCATGATACATTTAAAACCCAACAGTGTTCCTTTTTGCATTGGAAAGTACTAGAGCCACTGAATTTACAACACAATGCCTGCAAGTCTGTTAAAGAAGGGACTGACCCTGTGCAGTACTTAATTCCTGCAGGAAAAAAGGAGGGGAGGATGCTCATCATTGAATAAAGGCATCATCATTGCCACCCCTAGTCCACCAGCCTTGGACCCCTCTATCACAGTTAAAAAAAAACAGTAAACTGGCAACACTGTTTAAACTATCACATGAAAACCTGTTGTAAAATCTGCTTTTGCCATCTGCATGCTATCACTAGAGTGCTTTTGCACACTCACAGCAGTACTGGATTAGAACCTTTTCTTAAACACATGCACTTAACACAGGTACTTCTTAAGATGAATGGCACAGTGGCAAGTACAGAGTATTACTGATCCTCTGCTTAGAAAATGAGACCTGCTGAGAAAGGTCTCAGGGAAGGGACCTCACTTCTGGTTTCTAGAAGGAACAGCAGAGTATTACCCATTTCTGAAAGGTAAGGCTGAAAGGTGGAAAATGAAGAGAGGTATGCAATTCCACAGTTCCTATAAATCTAAATGCTCTTGTCTGCAGAGCTTGCTAAAACAAGAAACAGGCTTTTGTGAACCAGTGACAGGACAATGCTACTAGGTAGCATATTAATCAGCCATTCCAAATTTTCTCATTTACAGTGTGTTAAAAAAATGTATATACTAGAAGGCCCAGTTATTAGCAAAGAAAGCCTCCTGCCAACCTCTTTGCTCAACAAATCCCCCCCCCTACGTTTTTGAGTAGCATTATGATCCATAAATTATATACAGAACCCAGAAGGAATACACAAAGAGCCTTCAATTATTAATATCTAAATGCAATGTCATTCATGACTGTGCAGCAAACCAGCTGCATTTACTCTGTGATGGTTTGCCACTGCAGGGGTTGTCATTAAAGGATGCCAAATGCTTAAAAGAAGAAATCATCCATACTAAACTAGTTGTAAGGTGAATTTATAACCAAGTCCTTAAGATCAGTCATTACAAGGAAGCATATGATGCATTTTAAGTGACAGATTCTTCATTTTTAGGGTAAATTTACATTTAAAGATGTTTTACATTATCATAAATTAGCATAAAATTAGTTACTTGATTTTACTAGGCAGCTAATAGTCAGAGCAATGTGGCGTAATAAAAATTACTTGCTACTAATTTTCCATTAAAAAATAGCAATAAATTCTTGCTCCAAGGAAACAAACACAGCACAGAATAGGAGGAAACTCAAATGGGATTCCTACTGACTAAGTTATTAGTGAACAAAGCTTCTGACAGATGGGACTTCAATCAAGATGCCCATTTTCATGTTACTAGATCTACTCCTGTTAGTTCGTACTGAGAGACCATCACTAAAAGGAAAGCTACAGTTCCATGGAGGAAAACAACCATGTGCCAAAAAGACATCCCTGATTTGCCCCGCTCTTGAGTCTCTAGTCTTTGCTTTTACCTAAAAGGACTAAAATTTGGATTCAAAAGCTCTGCCCCTGGGACTTACTCCAAATCCCAATCATTTCAAAAAGGGGTAAATATAGAATGAAAGGCCCAGGGATTACAGAAGCAATGTCCTGGGGGAAGGTGTACTACTATGGGGTTAGCATCCCACAGGGAGTGACTGCAACGAGAGGTGATGATGAAGGAAAACTGAAGACCACAGAAAGGTGCAAAAAAGAAATAACTTAAAAAATATGGGAGGAAAGGGAATACCACTACACTTGAGAAGAAAGGCATCTATGGTGGAACTGGTCAGGAAACGGAAAGCATTTGCATCTCAGAAAAACCTCGGGTTTCACTTACATTTTGAGAGATTTCCAACCAGTTCTGCTTAGGGAAATAAAAAAAGGAAGAGAAAGCAGGTCAAGGAAAGAATTAGCAAAGGATGTCTGCAGAAATGAGCAAGTTATACAGGCAGAGTGTTTTAGGATATACACCATATCAAAACTAATGTACCCTGAAAAGAAATTAATCTGATTTGTATCCTGATAGGCAATAGCTCAAACATAAGATATGACAAATTACGTACAATTGGTATTAATGAGTTGAATAAACAAATACTGAAACCATTCATATGCTGCATGTGCTTCTGAGACATTCTAAAGTTTGTATTGCTTTTATACAGTCACATACTGTCCTGGGTTCAGCAGTAGCAGTCATTTTTCCCCTTCTTGGTAGCTGGTGCAGTGCAGTGCTTTGACTTTCAGCTCGGGAACAGAGCTGATAACAAGGATGTTTTGGTTTGGCCAAGGACTTTGTGAGCCTCATGCTCTGCCAGGGAGGAGGGGCAGCCGGGAGGAAGCAGAGACAGGACACCTGACCCAAACTGACCAAAGAGGTATTCCATACCACAGCACGTCATGCCCAGGATGTAACTGAGAGTTACCCAGAAGGGCTAAGGCACTGTGAGGTTGGAGGAGGTATCGGTTGGTGCTTGGTCAGGCAGGGTGGGGCGAGTTATCAGTTGGCAGGTGCTGAGGTGTTGTATTGTCTTCTCTTGTTATTTCCTTTATCATTGTTATTATTGGTGGTAGCAGTAGTGATTTGTGTTATACCTTAGTTACTAAACTGTTCTTATCTCAACCTGGGGGAGTTGCATTCTTTTTGGTTCTCCTCTCCATCACTTCGGGAGTAGGAGGACGGAAAGAAGGGGGAATGAGTGAACAAGCTGCCTGGCTGGTTTTAAACCACGACACATACTCACTAAAAAATGAATTTGATCTACTTAGTTCAATCTAGATCATGAGTAGTCAATCTAGATTACGATCACTATTCTGCCCTGGGCTTCAGGGGACACACTCTGGCCAGCTGGATCTATTTTTGCTCACAGTTCTGGTTGTAACTGTAACTTTGCTACTGAAACAATAACAGATTTTTAAAACAAGTGCTTGCTCTGATGTTTAGACTATTTTGAAATTACAGGGCAAGACAAGGTATTTAAGAATTCTGTGCTTACTATAACAATGAGGGGAAATTTATTTCAAGTAATACCTTCTTTTTTCCCATTACTGTTTTTTTTTCCCAGAATTTTGTTTCAAAATTTCCAGAAACTGACATTTCTACATGTTTTAAAGCGGTGGCTTCCCTTAAGAACAGGACAGTCTCTAGAACTTCTCATCCTACTGATGTGGACTGTCTTATTTGCTTGAGGGATCTGAACCACAGTTGTAGAGATAAAAGTACCATGCACAGATTCTTCTTAAAATATTTCAAGTTGGCTGTAGCAGAATGATACAACCCTCAAGCACTGCAGAGGTAAGTCTGAACTTTAGAAAGCCAGACTCCATTCTCACTGTTAATGGATAGGAGTTCTCCTACTAATGTTAGCAGCAGCCAGATGGGACTCACAACAGCTGGATCTCAAGTCTCGGTAAGGAAATACTGTCCTTTGCACAGTGTTAGTACCTCTGCCTATCAAAGAGGTCCTCTTCAGGATGAGATGAAAGTATGTCTCAGTTATTTTAAAAAGGACAGATATATCTTCCTTAAATTTCTCTGCTAGCTTTAAAAAAAGATAGGTAATCACATTCTGTTTGCTAAATGGCAGAAAGTTTTGCTAAAATATACTTACGGTATGCCACATCAAAGACAGGTGAATTCACTGACAAACAAAGCAAACCTCTGTGGAGGTTAAGTATCACCTTAATCTACCTTTGATCCTCCCAGATCAGACATTGTACACCCACAGGTGACAGGTTTTGGTATGGAATTGGACACACCCAGTTAAAAGTTACAAAGAAAGCAGTACAGGAAAGTTGGGTTTGTGGATTTTGACAGGTTCCAGGTTTGCTAAAAAAAAGACTAACTTTTCTTTACTGTACAGGTAACACAATTCCAAAGGGAAATTCAGGACAGTCAGAACTTTTATCTACAGGTAGTTGAACTGTTACTTAAAATCACTACGTACCAGCAGACAAGAGGATGAGCAAGCATTTTAAACGTAAGTGGTGCTCAGCTGCTGTATGATGAGATTCCATCAGCAGTTACTGAGTTAAAGGTCAACAAGTTGGTCACACTATTGATAGGAGCTCTTACAAAGGTACTTCACTGAATAATTGTATGCCAAGGACCACAATAAATACCAGTCATGAACTGCCAGCAGAAAGAGCACTTTGTCAGCGTCAACAGCAGTTCTGAAGACTAATGCAGCCTTCTGCATTTTGCAAGAAAGAATTACCAAGTTAGCTAGCATTTTTGTCATTTAGTTACTGAAGGATTCCTTCAGCTCCCAAAGGTAACTCATCTTGCTTGTTACAGGTGAGAAGAATGCAATGCAACAAGGATGACTTGGGGTTTGTTAAGCCGATCATGCCAGTAATAAGCAAGAATGTTAAGAATATATAATTAAGAGTTTATAAGAGGATTCCCCCCCCAAAAATAAAGGAAGGGCAGTAGCTTTATTCAGTAGCCAGTGAGGATGTACTTGCTTTCCCCCTAGGAACAGGGAGAATTCCTTGAATGGAAATTTTTTTTACTTCAGGAAATCCTCTTGGAAGCTTGTGTTCACAATTTACAGGTAATTGCGAAATTCCCTGAGAATGTCATAGTTTAACCCCAGCCAGAAAGACAGTGTTGCACAGAACCACTGTTCATCACTTGATGACTGATACCCAGCCCAACCTGAGCAGCAACTGGTGGTTCCTAGTCATCTCCCCCCAGTTTATATACTGGGCATGACGTGCTGTAGTATGGAATACCCCTCTGGCTAGTTTGCGTCAGGTGTCCTGTCTCTGCTCTCTCCTGGCTTCCTGTGCCCCTCCTCGCCGGCAGAGCATGAGACTGAAAAGTCCTTGATCAGGGTAAGCACTACTGAGCAACAACTGAAACACTGGTGTGTTACTAGCGTTGAACTCAGACTAAAGCCAAAACACTGCACCACACCAGCTACTAGGAAGAAAATTAACTCTATCCAGAAATGAAGACAGAAAAGCTACAGGTGTTTAGCTAGAAAGGAGAATTGAAAAAAGGAGAAAACCCCATGTAATTTCCCATTAAGTTTTATTTTTAACCTGCAATAATTAGAAGAAAAAAAATTAAACGTGTATTTCTAACAAACACTACCAAAAGCAATCTAACCTATTACCTGGGCATACATGGCATATAAAAAAGTTTTGCCTAAATTTTCAACCAGCCTGAAACAATATCTTGGATTCATTCTGGGGAAACATATGCTAAAAAGGCAGATAAGCAATGAAGTCTATACCATCCTCCATCCTGACATTTCTGACACATCAAAAATCAAAGAGAATGGCAAATCCAGCCAAAGCATCTTTACTGGGACCGGCTCTGCTTAGCGTTTCCTAAAGGTTTTACCCCTCCTCCTTCAGGTTTCCTACCAAGCCGGCCTCTGTAGCAATGAGAATTTGGGCAGAGCAAAAGAAGAAAAGGACTAATACAGAATTACAAAAGATGTTAACAAGCATCATGGTGAAGGACATCTGGTGAATGTACAGAAATTGTAGTTCAAACAGCGATAATATTATATCAGCTTCCAAGCTGATTTCAAAGGGCTGGTGTAACTGGTAACACCTTACTCATGTGGAAGGTGATTATATATGATATAGAACTTCTTGCACCTTGCCAAAATGCAAACTGGCGGATGCACTGGGCACTTTGACAGAGACTACACCTACTGAGGTGGACACAGACGTCCTCCTAAGTAAACATTTAGAAGTTTTTTTTTTCAATGGATGTACATAGGAAGAGCAAGAGCTCACCTTCAAAGCACAATCAACTGCTTGCTGCCTGCAAGGCACTACTGGCTTTGCTTGCTTTCATTCATACCTTTCTAAGTCAGTATTTTCTTGTCTACATATCCAGATTATCACTGCATTTGCTTTTAGATTCTCTCAGGGAAGTGTATGGGGATACAGTCTGCCAAAAATACATACGATGGATCTCATGTTAGAGACATGCTACACACTGTGCAGCTTTGAAGCATTATCTTCCCCTGCTGTCTCTGGGTGGGTCTTAGACTTGTCAGCCACAACATGGAAAATATGGATGGTAAACAAGCTGAAAGTGGTGTGAATAAAGTAAATAAAAAGCTACTGTCAAAACACATCCAATTATGCTCTACTGTGGAGATTTAACATCAGAGGATGATTTTCAAAGCAAAAATAGTGTGGGATGCCTTTTCCATTTGTAGATTAGTTTGGAACGAAAGGCCTATTTGTGCAATTTAAGCCAAATGCACTACAACATAATGATGTTCTCCTCAATTGCTATTCTTTATTCATGGGAAGTGGTGGATTTGTCATGTTTGTTAAATATTTTTCTGCAGCGTTTTTTTAATCCAAACTACTTAATTCAATTGTACTTTATTTTATATATATAAAACAAATAAAGTAATCACATGTAATTACATAAGAACAGCAACACATCGATACCTTGTGCAGGAACAAAATAGGCTAAATATATTCAATCACACTGCTGAAGAAGACACAGTGAACTATGCACAGTAAACTTTCCAAATGATGGAAACTAATACATCAGAAATCACAGATTTTAGCAACGTAGTCCAGTGGTATGGTTTTGACCTCCTTTCTGAGTAACAGATCAGTCAAAACACTCCACCTAACTACAACTGCAAGTTTAACCCGAGACCAACCTTTTTGTTACTCTGCTTTGACACTAATGGCAGTCTGCACAACAGGACAACATTCTGCACGTTATTCACAAGGAGTCTGGGGGACAACAAAACCACAGTCCATTAAGATACTAAGGAAATAAATGCAGAATGAAATAAACCATTCAGACAGCAAGGAAATGCCAACAGAAGACCAGCACCTTACAGAAGAATCCCTAACTCCTACATATGGTACCTAAAGAAAACCAGTTAAGAGATTTAATTTAATATACAAGGATCCACTACCAAGAAGGTACTAGAGGTCTCCCACATTAATTATGAAAACCACATTTTTTAGGTGGTTTTAGGCCTTTCGTTTAGAGTATCAAAAGAACTCTTCTCAAGAAAATATACATGTGAGCAGTACTCTTAACTGCAACAGTAGAAGGCTGCACAGATGCTGTGGTAAATACCCCTCGCTGCACATGATAAGCAGAAGTTATTCTCATGAGTTGCTATGAAAGCTCAACACCATAGGTCCTATTTAGCCCCATGTATCTCAGGCTGTCATTTTTTAAGTAACCAGTAACTGTAATATCCAGTTTTGAAAGGATGTGATGATGTTCTAAGAGGCACCGTGCATCCAGACTGACCCTCTTCCTAAAGAAATGCTGAATCTTAATATCTGCAAGGGAAACAAAACTATCTGCTGAACTTGCTCTACTGCAGAGAGTCTCCTAGCTTCTCAAAAGCTTTCAAAGCCATTTCCCCTTGCCCTGCCTTTCCAAGAATTAGAAGAGGGGATATTGAAGTAACTCTTAAATATGAGCAGACATAATGCAGACCAGGAATATATTCATAGCATGCTATTTCTAATATTGCCTAAGGCTGAAGAAGAGAACAAAAAGAATTAGAAATGTCTGCATTAACTAACCATAAATACTTTTCTCTGAGACACAGCAAAATGAACATAAGCAAGGGAGGGGTAAAATCCCTAATTTCCCAGATCTACATTAGCAAGTATCTGGTAAAGATCCAGTTCTTCCTGCTGGGAAAAGGCATGAGTACTAGTCCTCAGAAAACACATATAATTTAACTACATGGCCCTACAGCAGAGCAATTTGAGGATTTTTACACAGAAGGAAATTTTCAAGTGGCCTGGAAGGAAAAACAATTCTGTCTCCTCCTCGAGTCAACCCTGATTATGAAACATGATCTAATAAGAAATGCAAACAAACTCAAGAGATTATATTCAGACCACTGTGTCCTCCACTGAGCTTGGACACCTCATAAAAGATACATATAATTAACGATCCAGTAGTCCCACAGCTCTGCAATCCTCACTGGAGCAGAATGCAAGTTCCGGCTAAAGCCAGTAGCAAAGCTCCTGAAGATGGTTGACCTCCACTGCTAGCAACGCCAGACTGTGGAAAAGCAAGATGGAGAGGAACTCTGCAGTCTTCTGGAGGATGACCCCCAGTGATGCATCCCTTCAGCAGAGCAAATGGGAAAAACAGCTGAAGCAGCTGCCCATCAAAATATATGGATTTTATTCTAGTTAGCGTCTTCCCCCCTATGCATTTTAACCATTAAGAGTATATGAATGTCATAGGTTCTTTCTCTCTTCATTTATTGGATGGAAATACTGCACCCGAAGGGTTAGACACTGATTCTCTAAAGGGATAAAAATAATAAAGAGCAAGTGGGAAAAAAAAAAAAAAGGCACCAAGTAAATAATAATGGAGTAAGTTGCTATCCAGATACTTTATTTCACTGTCTTGTAGCCATTTACTAAGATCAGAGGGTATAACTGGAGCAGCTCAGCAAGGCAGGGTCCATGCTAATTATGAAACCCCACCCAGATTACCCAACTGCCTGAGCTGAGATAGGGTTTGCAGATACTGAGTGTCCTGAAAGAGAAGGTCACTGGCAGCACACTTGACCAAATTAATCTCTTGTGACTGACTGAAAATGGAGCTACACCTGAGGCGAATTGCTCTGCCACCAACAAACCATCTCTGCTTTAAGTAAAGGAAACCACTAAACCACAGTTCTTACTGCCATCACTAGATGTCTCTTCCTGCCCTGCTTTCTGGAAAAGTTATCATCAAACAGTATTTTACCCTTGAATGTTTGAGTATAACCTTGAAATAGAAACTGTAGTGAAAGAAATTGCTTCACAAAGACCTAAGTTAATAACAAAAGGACAGCTGTATGTTCAGATATCTTTCAGACTTTGCTTTAATATTATTGATATTATTCTCACTGGTATTTAATGCAGAAGGTCTTTAGGAAAGGAAGGGAGGAGCAGGGAAAAACATTTGCACTTACAAAAACAGGTCCCTGTAGGAGGTTCTCACCATAAACAATTTCCTAGTGAAAATAAAACTGCTTTTTACAAATCAGTGTGCAAGAGGCAGATATGCCATGACTGTCTTGCAAAGAATGGTAACCCAAGAATTTTAGGTGGCAGAGTTTTATTTCATTTAGAACCTCAGAAGTATTAGCAAGCAGCAAAATATCTGATGACCAGAGCTTACGTACACCTTTACATTCTCTGTAAACACGGATTTATTTCATAAAGGTCCTTCTATGAGCCACTCTTACCTTACTGCAACAGCCATACTTCCAATGGGGTTGATTTGCAATGGCCTGGCTCCAGGAAATAGTCCTCTACTCAGAACTCGAGCTCCATTTTGTATCACTCCTGGAGGAACTAAAAAAAAACAAAAACCAAGAAAAAAAAAAAGAACAATTTTTCTTTTTGAGGAAAAGTTAGGAAAATGGAGGAGCAAAATGTGGAACTTAACTTGTCATGAAAAAAGAAAACATTAGAGAGCCTTGTGTAGTACACTGCTTACCTTGAACATCTCAGCCTCAACTCTTGTGAATGCCATGCTGTCTACAATGCTATTTTCATGGAAAAAAGTAACAGCAACCAATGATAACATGGCTTGTGGAAGTCACTGCCTGACCTAGTTGCTGCAGATCATTCCCTGCACAACCAAATCACTTTTGTTTTGTAATTGCCATTCTGCTGGGAATTCATGTGCTTGGAGTCAAAGCCAGCTATGAGCACAGATGAAACTATTTCGCCTACAATAAGAAACAATGACCCTTTACAGATAAACAGAGTGTAAGCACCTCACTGCAATAATACAGGTCATAGGTTTTTATCATCCCAGCTTACTTTCTCAGCAGCAATCTCTTGGCCTCTGTCTCCTGCAAAATAAAGTGTTAACTGCAAATGTGGATTTACCAGGAAGGGTGAAGAAGAGGCTAAAAAGGCACTATCTCCATATGACTAATTAGCCCCTCTCTTGCCATCGGTGGCCTCTGGCACCCACCCTGATGTCAGTCACGTCCCTCCAGCACACAGCTGGGTCACAGTTGAGCCTCCCCCATCCAGTGGACTGATGCCACAGACATTGAACTGTGTAGGTACTGGCCACTACAGATCAGAGATTTCACTGGGGTGTTTTAACTTGGCTGTGTATCAAAGACTGCAGCTCTCGGCAACAAGATTTTAACCTACAACTGAGTACTTCTTTTCTAGCCAGCCATGTTTCTGTGCACTGCTCAGCCCAGGGCAGCCAGCCCCCAGAGGCAGCACTACCAAGGCACCACCAAAGGAGGAGTCTCCCCTCAGCAGGCCCTCAGCATCTTCCTCCTCCACTGTGGGATGGCAGGACTTCTCCAGACAGGTCTTATCCTAGGTGCTTACCACGGACTCACATGTAATGCCAATTGTCTGTACAGCTATTATGTCCCTATAGGTTGGAACAGTAACCCCTAATAGCCTTAACTCAAACTTGCTTATTTAACACCCACGGCTAGCCAGTTCGCTTACTTTTTCTTTACTGTAAGTCATCATTCATACTGCAACATCCCCTGGTGGGGACTGTCCAAAAAGAGAATGATTGTTACTCTGGATGTATTATTTTTAAACACACAGATATTATATAAATACATGTAAGAAATGTAATCACCTTATAAACACCCACAGTATTTTATTTTTAAACAAATTACAGGGAGACTAGAAAAATCATTCAGCCTAAGAATCAACACACACAGTTTATATGCCCAACTTCAAACACTCGCACCCCAAAATATTAGCGTATTATGAGGCAGAGAAATACAGGCTCAGAAGTACATAATTTTTAAGCCACTCAGGTACACTTCAGCTTCCTTTCAACACCAAGCCAGAACCATACCTCCTTTCCTGCTACCCTGATGCTCACCTTGCTTCACTCCAGACCACACAGATTAGGTCTGGGAAAATAATCTTCTTTATCCTGCTGGTGAGAGAGCATCACCCCCTTAATCAAATCCTGTCACTGTGTTATACCCACCTTTACTTTTGAGCGCCTCTGAAGAATAGGTCATTTATATTTAGGTGCTTAAGTGCAGCCTCAAATGGCTAAAATTACAGAACTTGCTTTATAACAACTGGGGTCAGCTTTCAATGACCAAAATAATCCAAAAATTGTGGTTTTCTATTTATACTTCACTACTTTGTGCACTTTTTCTTCCAGCACTAGATTATGAGAAATTGATCCAATCTGTTTCACTCAGGGGACACTACCAGACTGTCAATGCTCCCATGTTTGAGTTTGTAGACACTGCAGAGGAATGTTATCTTGCTAAAAGCTTCAAAATCTGCATTTCTTACTATATTTGTTTCCACAGCATGACGTTAAGATGGCCAAAATACCAGTGACATGATAGAAAAGAAGACTTCTCAAGGATATGGCTAACCTAAAATGCAAAGGTAACAGGTAAATTCAAGGCAGCAGATAAACCTGCTAATATCAAAAGATCAGTAAAAAGACATAATTTTCAATGGGCATGTTTTTTCCAACAGGCTTTCAAGAGGGACAGATTTTGTACTGCACCATACATTACAGTTTCTCTATGTTTACAAAGTCCTGTTAAAAGAAATGAACCAGGAGTTTTGATCTGGGATAGATCTGGGAATTTTGTCTTTACTCTGACACAAACCACAGAGTTTTATACTGAAATGAAAGATTTATGCATACACACAGAGCCACGTGTCAGTTAGTTGTGGATGTTGCCTAAATATATAGACACGTAAAACTTTAAAGCAAACACACTGAAAGTTCTACTGCAAAAGAGAACAATAGGGTCCTTGGCTCTCAAACTCTTCTTTCCATGGTTATCTAATTATACTGGCCTGTTGGCAGAGTTAACTGATGCTTATCTTATCCTTTCCTCTCTCCTACCCTGCCTTATTGACAAATCCCATCGCTTCACTTTCTCATCACTTCTCTAAAAATACTGCCTCCTGTCTTTCCTTCTTTACATTCTCCAAGTTTCCTTTTCTCCTGCTGTCCTGTATATATAAAATACACTGCCAAGTCTCATTGCTTAGACCTTCTATATATTGACATCCCCACTCAAACCCATTCTCCATCTTCCTTGACCCTTTGCAGGCTTGCAAGTCATGATGTGCTATTCAGGGAACACACACACACACAGTCCTCATGCCTTGGCTTCCCTCTGAATACACCACAGCTCTGTATACTGAAATCAGCACTCAGAATTCAGTAACTATTTCAGCTTGCAACAGCAGTGTTATGGCTCCTGATTTTATGTTTGTTTCCCCAAACTCTCTGAATTACCATGCAGCAATACCACTACTTCACTAGCAAATCATGCAGACAGACAAACAGAAAGGGACCAACTGGAGGATGACACTGGACAATTCAGGGTATCCTTTCAGTAAACACCTGAAACCACAATAAAAAAAAACCCACCACACAAACCCCTTATGTATATAAACTGCTAATACATTGTCCCTGATACCCAGACACATCCCTGTCTTTGTGCAGGCTGCATGAAGATGGTGACTTATTATCCAAGGAATTATTTCCACATGTTGGTACTTTTGAAGGGTTGTGGATTATTTACTGGAAAATACATGGTGCTTTTATTACAAAGATACATTTACGCCTTACAAGCTTTAATTATGTTTCAAAACCATACTTTGAGGTGAGGTATTTATATTTTAGACTGAAGATTCATAGTGTGGGGTAAGATAATTTACTTTAAGCTGTATCATCAATTAGTACCACTCTGGACTAACACTCTGCAGTCCAGACTCCTCTTTTCTAATACTTCTTTAACCAACAGCACAGGCAGGTTACATGGTTCCCAATTCCTAGGCAGAAGTGAGAAATGCAATTTACACCTCTTCTGTGCAAGTGCCAAGAGACATTTATATCTGAGAAACTCAGCTCAAGAAAACAATGCAAAAAGATCCGTGCATCTTTTTTGATAAAGGTTTTACAAAATGTTTTGGTGAAACACAAAGAGCCTGAAACAACAAAATAATTATCCACCTTTTGGCTTTCACCACTGCAGTGTTTTCAAGGAGGCAATGGATCTCATTTTGCTTTCAGGAAGCCTAAACCCTGGAAATACTTACACTGGAGTAGACTTAAAACTGTGTACAGAGAATCTGCCCCTAATATGCTTCATGAATAGGGAAATTATTTTTGGACTATATGATGCTCTGATGGAATTCCACTACCTGAGTAGGATTTGCTGGCATTTCAAGTCTCCACCGGCTAAGTGCAGAGAGAAGCAATTCATCCAATGTCGAAAATCAAGACTGCATTTCTGAAATTCTCCAAGATGGAAAATAATCTCTTTTGTAGCAAAGTTCTACATTACAGTTTAACAGACAATAAAGTGAATGCCATGTAGAAGAACATACCATAATCAAAACTCTAACTACTTTTATGTAGTGTTAAAAAGATCCAACAGAAGCCCTGAAAAATCCAGTGTTGTTTTGTAGCCCATACTCAGGTACCTGATCACTCCACAGCCAGTGCAGTACTGTTTTAATTCAGAGCATGGTATTGTGCGTACATTAGCCAAGTAAAATATTTTGAACTATGGACTTCTTTCATCACAACCCTTGGCAGACTGTATTCATAATCTCTTACTTGCAAGCATGTGTGCAAGTGAAGCAAACTTCCCCCATGCAGCCAAGATAACATCCTCATCAAAGACCTTCACTACAATCAAAACCATGTTAGACTGGGTCCTTCCCTGAAGGTTTGATTGTCTAACATACAATATAGCAATCTGGAAAAACTGAAGTGGAGAATGGAAATACCCAATGGACAGAGTCAGACACACTGACACCCCAACAGCTCACTAAATAAGGAAACCAACTTCTTGGATAAATGTTGGCACATGGAAGTTAAATAAAGTATCAGTGCTGAGAGTGATTTGTTGTGCAAGGAAATTAAAAAGAAAGGGGTAACAAATGCATTCTTTATGTCATCTGGGAAATAAGCATACACTTCATTAAACTTTCTAGGTTAAGGTAGCCAATATTTAGAATAATGAGGAAGATGGAATAGTCTTCATTGAAAATGAACATTAAAAATTGGAATATTAAGAGTATGAAGGTATCCTGTAGGGACAGACTGGTTCTCTGCCTCTTCTGTCATCATGGGGCACATACATTTATCTCAGGGATCTCTTCCCTGACCCATCTCTTGTAGTACAGAAGAAATCATTATAGACAAGAGGTACCAAGTTTCTGCTAATATCTGTCAGCTTCAGCTTTTTTTCTGCCAATCTCACCTCCAGGAGAGCGTTTAGCAGAATACTGTACCTCAGGCTACAAGAACTGAAAATAGGAAACTGCTAATGATGTGTAATTGATGGGACATCAGAGGT